ACTGCACTTCTATCTGGTCTTGGTAGAAGATTATTAAGAGAAATTCTGGATACCACTGGCACCCCCTTCTGTACTGCAAGGCTCTCTTCTTTGCCCCCTTTCTCTGTTCCACCTCTTCTCCTTGGCTTGTGGGCACGGGAACACGCAGTAGTAATGAAGTCAGTTGATGATGAAGGTCCAGTGGAGGGGGAAGATGCCCACTGGAAGAGGAGGCATCTTCATTCTTTACTTGGCCTCAGAGAGTAATTCTATGACAAGTCATCCGTCTTGCAAATGCAGGCTGCTCTTCACCAGTGGAAAGTGAGAATGTCAAGAATAGGCAAAAGTCAATCACCTCTAAAGGGAAAAATAACCAAGTGGTGAGTTTAGGTGGAATAGGACAATACAACACTAGAGGGGAAAATGCTTTCTAGTCATGTTTGTTCCTTCCTTTTCTTTTTTCTTATCCTTTTCCTAGCCTTTCCTAGCCTGTTCTGTTCTATTTCCTCCGAGAGGTAGGGAAGGGGAAAATGTGCATTTATATTTAATCCTGTCAACTGAAAAATGAAAATAAAAATAGTTGGACATTTACTTACATTGGTGAAAATTTTTACTTAATATCAAAAGAACTAATTTTGACCCACTTGTTTAGAACATATATTGTGTTACTGACTTTATTTAGTTTCCTATCAACTTGCTTTCTTTGGGTGGCTATGAATTAGCAGGGGTGAAAATGCCATTCTAAATAGCCTAATCTTTATTCCTATTGGTGACTCATGGGAGGTGGCTATGATATGGTGGTTAGAAAATCCAATTTTTCTTCTACCTCAAAGGAAAAACAATTGGTGAGTGATCACCTCAGCTGCAATGCAGGAGACCCAGATTCAATCCCTGGGTTGGGAAGATCCCCTGGAGAAGAAAATGGTAACCCACTCCAGTACTCTTGCCTGGAAATTCAATGGATGCAGGAGCCTGGTGGGCCACAGTCCATGGGGTTGTAGAGTCAGACACAACTGAGCAACTTCACTTTCTTTCACCTCAGCTGAAGACAGGAGACTCTTGATAAAATATTTCATTTGTACATTAAAAAACTGCTGTTAAGAATGTGACCGTCAGATTTTACTGAGAAAAATGGGAAAACACTGAAATACAAGACAGGGTAACTGGGTACTGTTCCTACTTAACTAGCTGAGTGACCTTGGGTAATCATTCAAACTTTCTCCTTTTCATTTATAAGATCAGGCTAGGAATATCTGCTCTACCAACTTCTTATAAATTTTTATTTTAAAAAAGAATAATAAGGAAAAATTACTTTAAAGCAATTTGAAAAGTAATTATGAAGTGTATTGCTTGTGTAAAATAGAATAATGATATTATTGAGAGGAAAACAGTAAATTTACTTTTATTGTTCCCAATGCTAAATAGGTTTAAGTAGCAGATTTATATTGCACATTAGCAGTTTATTTTGGGACGTATTCACTTTCTAATGCTAGAGAAAGACTGAGTGTGATATGTTCTAGGACTGAATGTGTTTTCATGTGGAAAATAATTCACTGAGAAGTGTTTTCTACTTAAAAAATCAATGAAAGTGCTTCTTTTCAGAAGTTTTTTGAATGAAAACATAGTAGGTCAAGATTTCTTTATATTCTCTCTTTTTAGTTACTTTATTATGAAAGCTATTAAAATACAAGAAATCCAAGACAAAAGTTGCCCATTGAAACACATTTTCATGTGGCCAAGTTACTTGTCATCATTGGTTGTATCTACTTAAAAGTTTTATATATTGAAGTGATAATACATATAGAATTTTGTAGTCTGTATTTTTACTTAATGTTACTTTAGAAGTTTTTTTAAAATTTATTTATCTTTTATTATTTCCCTCCGGTTGACATTCACTGTTTCTCAAGGTTTTTTTTTTTTTTTTAACACAACAATGCTCCCATAAATATTCCTGTATTTATTTATTTAGTAGATACTTACTGAGCATCTGTTAGGTGTCAAGCACTGTTCTAACTCCTGGGAAATGCCTATGGACAAAACAAGATCCCCACCCTCATGGAGCTTATGTTAGAGTCAGGGAGATGGCCGCTAAACAATAAACACAATAAAAATTGGGTTACAGGGTGTGTTAGAATGTGAAGTGCTATGGATAAAAGAGAAAGTATAAAAGGAGAGGAATTTGGGATTGTTGGGTAAGTTGGAATTATTATTATTAGTTTTTTATTGGAGTATGGTTGATTTACAGTGTTGTGTTAGTTTCTGCTATATAGCCAAGTGAATCTGTTATACATATCTCCACTCTCTTTTAGATTCTTTTCCCATATTGGACCTTACAGTGTATTGAGTAGAATTCCCTGTACTACACAGTAGGTTCTTATTAGTTATCTATTTTATATATAATAGTGTGTATATCTTTTTTTTTTATACAGTTCTTCTGTGTATTCTTGCCACCTCTTAATATCTTCTGCTTCTGTTAGGTCCATACCATTTCTGTCCTTTAGCAAGCACATCTTTGCATGAAATGTTCCCTTGGTATCTCTCATTTTCTTGAAGAGATCTCTAGTCTTTCCCATTCTATTGTTTTCCTCTATTTTCTTTGCACTGATCACTGAGGAAGGCTTTCTATGTGTATATCTTTTTTTTTTTTATATAGTTCTTCTGTGTATTCTTGCCACCTCTTAATATCTTCTGCTTCTGTTAGGTCCATACCATTTCTGTCCTTTAGCAAGCCCATCTTTGCATGAAATGTTCCCTTGGTGTCTCTCATTTTCTTGAAGAGATCTCTGGTCTTTCCCATTCTGTTGTTTTCCTCTATTTTCTTTGCACTGATCATTGAGGAAGGCTTTCTTATCTCTCCTGGCTATTCTGTGGAACTCTGCATTCAAATGGGAATATCTTTCCTTTTCTCCTTTGCCTTTCGCCTCTCTTCTTTTCACAGCTATTTGTAAGACCTCCTCAGACAGCCATTTTTCTTTTTTGCATTTCTTTTTCTTGGGGGTAGTCTTAATCCCTGTCTCCTGCACAATGTCATGAACCTCTGTCCATAGTTCATCAGGCACTCTGTCTATCAGATCTAGTCCCTTAATTCTATTTCTCACTTCTACTGTATAGTCAAAAGGGATTTGATTTATGTCATACCTGAATAATCTAGTGGTTTTCCCCACTTTCTTCAATTTAAATCTGAATTTGGCAATAAGGAGTTCATGATTTGAGCTACAGTCAGCTCCCGGTCTTATAATGGAAAGTAATCTGAAAATATATATAACTGAATCACTTTGCTATACATCTGAAATGAACACAATATTGTAAATAAACTATTAATTAAACTATCAATTTAAATAAATAAACTATCAATTAAAAAAAAAAGTTGTTCCCACCAGTATCTGAGATCAATGTTAAAGCACTCTGGGAAGCTTAGACTATTACTATTTTTCTGTGTACAAATGGAATAGTCTGTTTTTACTGGCTTTATTGGTCAAACTAGTCAGATAATAGTCAGATAATCTGGAAACACACAACATGATTTGAAGTTTCAGTCTAATAACTGGTGTAATTTGTTTGCCAGATCAACTTGGTTTCTTTGCTTTGACACAGTCAAATTAGTTAAGGCATTAAAATTGGCCTACTTTGGGTATAATATAGTTTTATTGTGTCTACTGGGATATTTGACTATGAAATATGAAAGCATCTGAGTAACTCTTAGGTCTCTATTCTGAGATCAATGCTTCTGCCATAAAAGAAAGGTTATAAATAATAGCAATTTAAGTCATAACTAATACCCACTGATTATCATCAGGCAGTTACAGTTTAAAGTACTTTGCATAAAATGAAATTCTGCAACAGCTTTATACAGTAGATACTATTATAATCTTCATTTTACAGATGAGAATCCTAAAGCACAGAGAAGCTAAGTAACTTCCCCAAGATCATACAGCTTTATAGTGTTACAGCCAGAATTTATAGGTAAGGAGTCAGGTTTTAGGCTTTGTGCTCTTAACCACAACACTATACTTTGTTAATTTGTTTTTCTGTCTCCTTGACAACTCTGCTGGATCTGTTTCAATTTCTTTACCATTAGGAAAGAGAAGGTTTGGGTCAGCATTTTTCAGGCACTTTCTCTATTCAGCCATAGAAAGTAATTTGAAGTTCTTTCTGTGGTAATAGATGTGAGAATTGGGCTGGGTTTTGCCTTGCATAAGCTATGTGTGTAATTAAGGAATCTTTCAGACATCGGGGTTTTACAAGGAAGTAGAAGTCAGATTGCCACTGCCAGTACTTTGATGAAAAGGTAATTAACTCCATTATGACTAATTTTGCTGCTTTTATTTGGCTAAAGAAATGAGAGATATTAAAATCATTTTTAATTGATTTTGTTTCTGGTTGAGAGCTAACAGTGATAATGATGTGAGCCATTAAACATCGCATTTTAATATTCCAGATTTAAAGATACATTGCCCATGCTTTGTATTTCTCATATACATTAGAACTATTAGTCCCTTAAAACTATTTGAAATAATACAGCGGTGTATCTTTTAAGTGTTTTTAATCACTTACTTTCTCTGGTCCTTAATTCTCCAGATCTCATTCTTTTTATTCCCCTTGTTTTAATACATGGTTGGATCAGATAAGATGCCCAAGAGGCTCTTTCTATCCTGACAGAGCAAAGGGACAGATACTCATCACATTTATGTGCTTGGCAGCAACTGTGGGTCAGTTCTAGCTCTTTTTTTTTTAACTATTGAGGTTGAGCGACATGTGAAATGCTGTCCACATTTAATATGTGGTGAGTTTTAACATGAAAACTCAGTGACTTTGAGGGTAAGCATACACCCGTGAGGGGCTTCCCTGACAGCTCAGATGATAAAGAATCTGCCTGCAGTGTGGGAAACCTGGGTTCAATCTCTGGTCAGGAAGATCCCCTGGAGAAGGGAATGACTGTCAACTCCAGTATTCTTGAGTAATTCCAAGAACAGAGAATTCTGAAGAATTTCAAGAACAGAGGAGCCTGTCAGGGCTACAGTCCATGAGGTTTCAAAGAGTTGGATATGACCGAGAGACTTTCACTATTCATATAACCTTGAAACCATCACCACCATTAAGGCCGTGAACATAGTCATCACCTCCTAAAGTTTCCTCCTGCCTCTATTATTATTATTTGTGGTAAGAACATTTAACATGAGATTTACTCTTTTAGTAGATTTTCAGTGTACATACAATACAGTATTGTTAGCTATAGGCACTATGTTGCATAGTGTCAATAGATCTTTGAAACTTACTCATTTTGCATGATTGAAACTTTGTACACGTTAACAATCACCTTCCCACTCCCCCTCCCTGCTGGTCAGGAAGTTCATCATTCCACTCTCCTCTATGATTTTGACTATTTTCAAGTCCACATATAGGTGAGATCTTTTATTTGCCTTTTTGTGTCTGTTGTAGGCCAATTCTAGTTCACGCTCCTCCTCTGCATAGGTTAGTTTTCTCAAAAATATATATATATAAATTATATTCCTACTTAAAAAATAAATATATTTATTATATTCTTACATTTTTCACTTTTAGTTAAAAATTATTTTAAACTAATTTCAAATGTAGAGGAAACAGTAAGAATCAAGAAACTTTTTTCAACTCTTTTCAGAGTAAGTTGCTGACAGGTTGCTTCATCATCCTAAAATAGTTTCTAATCTCAATCAAAAAATATTCTTCTCTGTAACCACACAGAATAGTAAAAATCTAGAAATTGACATTGATATATAACAGTGATCTGATTCTCTGACCCCCTTCGGAGTCTTATCAGTTGTCCTAATATTGTCCTATATCACAAAAGGATTTAGTTCAGGATAATACATTGAATTTAATTCTCAAGTTCCTTTAATCTACTTTCATCTGTAATCCTCAGTCTATCCCTGACCCTAACTTTTCTCAAGATTATAGGCTGGCTGTGTTTTTTAGAATATCCCTAATTTAGATTTGGTTCTTTTTGAAAAAATTCAGTTAATGTATTTTTGGTCATTGTATCAGACATGATTCTGTCTTCTTTTCATTGCATCTACTCAGGTGTTACACATTTTTTATTTGCTTCTTTACTGGTGATGTTGACTTTAAACATTTCACGGAGGTGGTGTGTGTCAATTTTATCCACTGTAGAGTTTCTTCTTTTTTTCTTCTTTATACTTAATAGGTATTTTGAAGGGTAGTATTTTGAGACTTTGCCAGTATCACATATCACAATATCACACTCACTAGCTTAGCATTCTTTGATGTTTAATGAATTAATAACAAAATAGATTATTTCTATGAAAGTTGCCAGATGATTTTTATGATTCAGTTGTTTTCTGCCTATATAAGTTGATATACTATTGTAGAAAAAAAATTTCCTCTCTCCATTCATTTATTTATATCAGTATAGTCAAATAGATTCTTATGTTATTTAATGAGTATAATCTGTTACTACTGTTATTTCAAATAAGTTTTTATTCCAAATCAAGTTATTTATTTCAAATCAGTTCAAATTGACCTGGATTTGAAGGTCCTTCAAGTCTACTTCTCCATTCTCTTAACATCTCTGTGTCATTTTAAAAGCCCCCTTTAAACTTTTTGATATAGAATTTCAGGATTGTTTTGTATTTTCTCTGCTCCAGCTAATTCTCCAAGGAATCCTGCTTTCTTTTAGTGGATAATGCTGTTTAGAAACCAAGATCTGGCAGTAGATGTGCTCAATGCTCTTGCAGTATCTTGTTCTCAGAGCTGCTCTTTTTGAACAGAGCTGTGAAATATGTGTCTGTGTGTGATTCTGGGAGTGAGAATATGTACAGTACACGTTTATTTCTGTATCAGTGTGATTGAAAACTATGAGTTATGCTAGTATATTTCATCCCTGATTTATGATGGTTCAACTTAGGATTTTTAAACTTTACAATGGTATGAAAGTGATATGCATTCAATAGAAATCTTACTCTGAATTTTGATCTTTTCCTGGGGCACATATGTAGTAACAATACACCCTCTTGCCAGGCAGCATGGTGAGCTAAAGTTCCTTGTCAACCACATGATCACAAGGATAAATAACCAATACACTTATAATCAGGGGCTTCCCAGGTGGCACAGTGGGTAAAGAACCTCCTGCAATGTAGGAGGTGCAGGAGATATGGGTTCAATTCCTGGGTCTGGAAGATCCCCTGAAGGAGGGCACAGCAGCTGATATTCTTGCCAATATCCCCAATATTCTTGCCTGGTGAGTCCCATGGACAGAGGAGCCTGGAGGCTATAGTCTAGAGTCTATAGTCCATGGGTCTCAGAGAGTCAGACACGACTGAAGTGACTGGGCAAGGACACACAGTTCTGATCATTCAGTACCCATACAACCATTCTTCCACTTTCTGTATAGTTTTTGATAAATTACACAGGATCTTTAGTGCATTATTATAGAATAGTCTTTGTATCTGATGAATTTGCCCAACTTGTAGGCTAGTATAAGTGTTCTGAGAACATTTAATGTAGGCTAGGCTAAGTTGTGATGTTTTGTAGGTTAGATGCATTAACTGCATCTTTGAATTACAATATTTTCAACTTACAATGGGTTTATTGGGACACAAGCCTATTGTAAGTCAAGGGAGAGCTGTACTTCCAATTCTAAGCTAACATTACAAAGTTGATTTCTAGTTTTGCCTCTTTCCATATTGTAACTTCCTTCTCCAATGGTGAAAAACTTAACTGCTATTATTTTCAATTTGTACTTTTCATTTGGTCAGTCTCTTGTACAGAATCGTTGTTCCTCTGCACCCCAACCCTGCAGGAACGTTTACTTCCCATCCCATTCAGGCACCAAACTTCCGAGCGGGCCGCTGCCATAAGCTGCTGGAGCGTTCTTCCTCTCTCTGCCTCGCCCCATGGTTTCCCACCTTACCACTCAGGCTCTGACCCTCTGAGTAGGGTTGTGACAACCTTCCCTCTTCTCTGCCCCATCCCATCACACCTTGATTTGCCCTCCCTCATTGTTTCTAGTTTGAAGTATCCAGGAAGGAAAGAGGATCATTACATTCATTTGATATTTTATTTGTTCTCTCTGAAACAGGTGGAGTTATTGCCACTTCCTATAGAGATTGGAACATAAAGAGGTTGTTTGCTCAAACTCTGAAGACTTTGGGAGCCCAGACTAAGGTTGCTCTGAACAAATTCCAGTGTCTTTTGTTAGGACCAGCCTTGATGTCTAAACAGGATTCTCCAGTTTTATCATTAGTGGTTCCCATCCAGCGACTTAGCAGTAACTCGTGGCTCTGAACAACTCTGCCTAAAGGATGGATATGCACCTTCAAGTGCCAGGATTCCCCAGGAGTAATCACCCTGGGTCATCCTCTCTAAGTCTCAGGGAAATAGCTGGGAGTAAAATTCAAAACATGTAATGACTGCTCGGGCACGGGAACTGACCTGTAGGAATGGACTCTCAGCATATGCGGTAGAAGAATCCTGTAGCCCCCTAGGTATGCCAGGTTTCATTCTCTGGGATGTTCAGGTAGTTTCTGGTGGAAAAGCTGAGGCTGACAGTTAGCAGTGGCAAAACCTGTAACCTTGGAGAGCTTTTGTTTCCCAACCAAGATGGAACAATTTCAATATTTATTTTAACAATCAGTATGGCTTATCCAGTGCTTACTGGATGGAGATCAGGCTTCCAGTTGCTAAAGCAGACATCATCACGTTCTTTTCACTTGGCAGGGTTTGGGATAGGAAGAAAATAGATAAACTCACCTAGGTATACTCAGGGTAAGGCCAATGAACTTAATGTTAGGATGGGAGTGTTTGAGATATGAATTCGTGTGTTCTTCCTTTCCATCTAATCAACAGACATCCATGGCTTTTGTTAGGAATGTTACAGCAGAAACAGCAATTCCAGGCTTTGGATGGCTTCAGAGTGTAGATCAACCTGAGCCCACACGAAGTTTTCCTGAATTAAGAGAGAGGAAGAGAATAGGAGAGGAAGTGAAATCATACGAGAATTAGGTGTGTTCCTGAAAGATGAGCCCCGTATCTTTTGCCATCCTCCTCATTTCAGGGTAGAGTACAGGATAGGAATTCAGGTGGGATTGGGGACCTGAGAGGAGTGGGGTCTTGTTCCTGCTTACTCAGAGGGACCCTAAGTTTTCCCTCCTGCCTCAGTGACAGCAAAACAATAGAAGGGTTCCTTTGTCCCTAAATGATGCCCAGCAGAGGTAAAAAGCATCAGCTAACCTCAGAGAATTTCTTATAGCAACAGAATCATGTGTGTTCATGATCTGGAGGGATCTGGGAATTATGAGGAGCCATGCGTTGAGGAACAAGGAACAATGCAACAATGACCACCTGTCACATGACAGGAATCATGACATCTTAAGGGATGATAACACACACACATGATGACTCAGACACAGTGGATATCCCAATGCCTTTTTGCAAGCCACAGAAGCAATCTGATAGTAAATTCCATTTCAGGGAAAATGGGATGGTCCTTGAACTGCCCTCTTTCTTTCCTTCAGGAAATAGGGATTTTATTAGAAATTGAGTTCAGTTGTAGAAAAACAAAGTTGTATTTCTTGTACAGAGGTGGCAGTCTGACATTCTTCCCCTCTATACCTGGTACTAATCTGTGCCCCAGGATTTTATACTTTTCATTCCAAGATGGGCCAAAGTTAACTGCCCAGTGTGAGAGAGAAAGGCAATGGTGACTCAGCAGTGTAACAGCTCAAAGGCACTCAGGGCAGGAAGGAACTTTTGAACTCTGCTATTTTGCAAGTGACAGTGACTTGGGGTAATATAATTATCCAGGACAGTTCTACCCACATATAGCATCTGTTTTTCAGTTTGCTCCTGCTGCTTTGAACACACTTTGGCAGCAGGCTTCACTGAGGCACAAAGGAGTCAAGTGTCTTGACCAGGCCGCATGGAGAGGTGGTAGCGCAGTCCACCTTGGCATCTGGGACCATTATGACATTCCATTATCTGCTGTCAACACCGGGGCTTCCTGCCTTAGGAATGCAGCTGCAGCCTTTCGCTGAAAAATTCGCCTCCTTTCACATAGAAGGCATAATTAAGAACACAGCTGCAAATTGGCTCTTCTCAACAATTTTCCCTGCTGTCCCATAAAATGTGAAAAATATGGGCCGGTACATTGATTAGACAGACTCTTGGGGCTGAATTGTGTGTAATCTATCCACTTCTGGCACTTTGAAATAAGTTTTTTTGCTCTTCCATTGGAAATTAAAGGAAAAAACAGAAAATACCAGTAGCCTGGGTGTTTCTTGGTTGGGCACTTCACGGACACAGTGAGAGGATGTAATCAGCTCACATCCTCATTTGAGTTTGTAACACACACAAATACACACACACATACACTTTGTCTTGATGATGACACAGTATAAGTTTCTTGGCAAATATTGATCTATTTATTTCCTCTGTGAATTTTTTGACTGAAGAAACTTTGAAGCAGCTTGTCACTTTCTTTTTTTTTGCTCTGCCACCTCTGTCTGATGAGGGAGAAGAAATCTAGGTTGGGTGTATTGTACTCTCCAGGGGTCTATTAGTGTTATTTTAGTGGTATTGTATTAAGGACTGGACTTACTGTGTGCACTGGAATCAGGTTCAATTTCCAGACCCACCCTTTAAGCCCTGAGACCTTCATCAATTAGTTTAACCTCTGGGAACCTCAATTTTCTCCACCAATGAGATTGCAGTGATTGTGCTTGTTGTATAGAATGATCATGAACATTAAGTGCAGCTGCAAATTTGCGCTTTCTAGTATATTGCTTGGTCTGGTCTAACAGAATGTGCTCATTAAATTGCATGACTGTCTAAATCTTCATTGAGATTTAGAAACAAGGAGCAAGACTGTTACAGGGAAAGAGGGGACTCTAGCTTTATTTTTATCGAATCATCTTGACATTTATGCAAAATAATTTGGATTAGAATGGGGCCAATACTCAAAGAAGTGCTGGAAAATGTTGTTTTGATAAAAGTTCTCTGAACGACCTGTATTTAGGAAAAAACACCAACAATGAAACCACTTATAACCTAATTCTACAAGGAAAAAGAGAAACGGTACTGCACTGATGTTTAAAGCCAGCCTCCTATGCCGGACAAGGTACAGAGAAGCCACCACAAAGACATGGCCTGCATTTTCCTGGATCTTTATTCGCATCACTCTCGTTCTTTTCCAAATAATAAGTTCAGGAGAGTTCTTGGCAGATTCACAGCAAGCTCCCAATTGAACGTTCCTGCTTGGATTCTCTGTTCACCATAGACCGCACACAGCTGCCTTCTGTGCAAATGTGCCCTGATAAATAATGGCTGGGTCCCCACAGAATACGTGGCCCCAGATTGTAGGATGAAGCGGTTGTCAGTGAGGGGGCGCTTGGTCATTACATGGCCCCCGAAAGGAGAGGGAAAATGGCAAGGGCATAACAGCAGCTTCAGTGGAGGGAACTGAACACTATTCCTACTGGGTGGCTGCCCTACTTTTGCTCCTTGGGAAGATCTGACAGGACAAAGAGCCAAGGTTCTGCGTTTGCTCAGGCATGGTTAATGTACCTGTATCCTCCTGAAGATGAAAAGTGAGTTTCTTTCTTTAAAAACTGAATAGAGTTGATTTACAAGGTTGTGTTAGTTTCTGCTGTATTCCTTCAGTTATACCACACACACACACACATATATGTATTCATTTCTGTTATGGTTTATCATGGGATATTGAATATAGTCCAGCCCCCCTGTGCTATACAGTAGGGCCTTATTGTTTACCCATTCTGCATATAATATTTTGTGTCTGCTAACCCCAAACTCCCAATCTGTCCCTCCCCTGTCTCCCCTTCTCCTTGGCAACCATGTCTGTTCTCTGTATCTCTGAGTCTGTTGCTGTTTTGTAGCTAAGTTCATTTGTGTCATGTTTTAAAAGTCAGATTCTAAATACATGAAGGACATCTCAAATCAAAAAGTAATGCATTCCATTAAGTGCTTTTGCAGATTTTCTCTACCCTCTTTACCACCCCCTCCAGTCCTGCCCACCACATTTAATCATAAAGAAACGAGCTGGAGACATAAAAGTATGTGCATCTAAATAGCATTCTTTGTAGAATAAGACAGATGTGTAAATCTCTTTGCTGGTACTTATTCTAATGAAGAAGATTAAATTCATCTGAAGCATTCACCTTTATAGAGAGGAGGAGAACTTTTAAGGTGTGAATGAGCACAGATGCCCAGTGGTAAGAAAAGACAGCTGGATTTGCCATGTCAAGGGAAGCACGACTCCACAGTTTAAGTCCCCACAGATGCCGTTCTGAGCCACTGTACTTGTATCAGAGGCAGACAAGCGCAGGATGCCGGGACCGTGGGGGCGGCATTGTTTAACCTTTGTTCCTCACATCCCTCAGGAGAGCAGACAACACCTCTATTTTCAATGTTTCTTCTGAATGATTTCCCGCCTGGTGGATTGACAGGTACTCTGATTATCTGCCTAAGGAAAATGAAGGGATAAAGAGCTGAGAGATGAAGATTGACTTGAAAGGACTACATCAAGGAGTGTATGTTACAGTTGGATAAAAAAGAATGTAAAAAGGGGGCTTGTGGGAAAATGTAAGATTAGCACCTAAAATATATTTTGGAGAAAAGCATAGTGTTTTGCCAAACTGGTCTTTACTTGAAAAATAATATCAGATTGTCACTGTCATAGTTTATAGAGATTTATTTGAGGAAGAGAAATGCTTTTCTCTTTTTACCATCTAGAACAGGGCTGTGTGATGGACATCTTGGGGCATCTCAGTCGTTATGTGGGGTTGAGACTGGGAACCTTTATTTTAGAACCTCCTTTCAGGTGGACTTGACCGCGGTCCAGGTGGGAAACTACACTAGCTGAGGTGGGTGGCGTGTTCTGGAAATGACTTCTTTGCTTTGTTTGATTTCCTCTTGCTCAAAATTTGTCTGGCCCCACTTCACCCATTTTCTCATCCTTAACCCAACTTTGAGTGGTCTTTAATACAGCTGAGTATCTTGACCTAATAACAGATTACCCAGGAGAACCTGGGTAGTTACTCAGCTGACCGGGCTAAACTTAAAGGGAAGATGAAGTTAGAAACAGGCGGTTATTTCCTACCCATCCCTCTAGTTCCAACATATGCTTTATAATAGTGTAAGACTGATGTGTTTTCCTTGAATAGGACAGTTTTAGGGGGCATTTTCTAGTGTCCTATTAGGGTTTTGGAAAAGAAAAGCACAAGAAGTGAGGAAAGAAACACTATAACCACGATATCCAAAAAGAACAGCCCCAGCAAGTGGTCCTGGCTGGGTTCTGTCGATGTTTGCCTGATCTGTTTTCATATCACAGAGCTCAGTGATCTGGGTTGCAGGAGGATTTTCCGTCAAAACCAGTTGTATAAGGGAGTAATGAAGTTTTTGGAAATACCCCTGCATTCTCTCCTTCTCACTCAATTAGAAAACAGAGTCACAAGCAAAGGCTATTTTTATGACCTTTCAGCCGTGTGATCGCTGCTTTGCTCACTTCTGTTGAGACAGAAGCACGGCAGGGGAAGTCCCATGTGGCCTGGACAAATGGGGTCGCTAGGCCTTTACCTATTTATCCTTGGCCGTGGTTTGCACTGCTTTAATCCCCAGGCTCACGTTGCCGCTGAGGCAGGACAACATTCTTATCATTAAGAGGGTACACAACATTGCATATGTTTTTGAATGCAAATTTGCATTCTCCCAGCTCACACTTCACCTCTTTTTTTTTTTTGAAAACAAAATACCCCAAGTCCCTGATGATTGAATATGAAACATGATCTGGATTGCCTTTGCTTCCAGCTCTGCTCCCCAGCTGTGTTTATAGCTATCCTAGTCCTACGCACACGTCCCCTCTTCATGGGGCCAAAAAAAGGCAGATCATTTGTGGCCGGGGACAAAGCGTGGCACTTGCTGGCCAAGAAAAGAGTTCCCAGGACTTGATCTCTGACCTTAGTGAACACAGTCAGTCCTTCCCTGGCCCATCTTCCATTCACAGGCTGCCTGTGTTCATTTAGATGCCCTTTTCATTGCAATCCTCTGCTCCCCATCCCCTCTACAGGCCACAGGGTACCCCACAAGGTACCCTTTTTTTCCACAAGGAGGACTTAGAAGAGTCAGTAACAAATGATGAGCACCCGGACTTGGGAGAACCTGGCGTCCTATTCGGCAGTTTGTGTTTTCAGCTGGGCCAGTTGGAAGGAAGAGTTTGTAAAGGTCTAAATGGCTGTGGTTGTCTTTTGTCCTGGAGACAATGCTGATAAACATGCTGGTTCTCTGTTGCGTTTGGATGCCCACAGGGAGTGATGGGCACCCCAGCCAGTGCCCGTCCCCCCTCCAGCCCCTACCCCCAGCACTAAGGCCGCTGTCGTGCACACAGCCCAGCCACGTTTGCCTTCTGCTTCGTGTAGGTGACACAGCTGCCAGCTGCCCCAGCTCCTAAGGAGCCGCAGGTTGCTGACCTGAGGTCACATTCCCGAGGTCGTGCCTCAGGGCCCCTCGGAGCGGACCTTCTGCCCTCCCTGCCCTCACCTGCCCTGCTCACTGGCCCCCCACCTTCCCACTGGCCCCATTCTCACCTGCCAGATCCAGCCAGCCTGAGTGGCGCGGAACAATATGTGCAGCTTGGCTCTACTCTAGAGAAGTCAGGAGGATTTCCACGGGGGGATCACCACCACTTCTCTGGCCCCCACTAACCTTCCAGATGCCAGCTTGACCACAGTTGAGAAGCTGCAACAATGCAGACTTCGCTCCCAACCTCTTAAGAGGCCACTGCCACGCTGAGAGCTGCGGGCCCGGATGGTGTTTCAGCAGGGACTGGGGATGGAGCTGGACATCTGCATTGGACCTCCCTCGGGGGCACTGACCGCTGAGGAAAAAGCCCCAGACTTCCCCATGCTATCGTTTGCCTCTCTCCCTGCCTCCTGCTCTTAGAAAAGGGAGCATTTGGGAAAGCTGAGTTCAGCAGCTGTGCTCACTGGTCGGATCTCTAGCACAGGCCCATGCTGGCCGGAGCTGGGCATGAGCGGCTTTAGGACTAGCCGAGAGGGTGTGTGGAGCGGCTGCGAGAGCCCAGGTGCCTCCCTGGGGCTCCAGGCACGGGACACAGCCAGGCACCATCAGCAAGCCTGCTGTTTCCTGCTGTCGGATCCCCGGCACGCTGCCCTCTGGAGCCCTGCCAGGATCTACGGTGCTGGGCCAGACTTGCCGTAATAGCCAGCACACACCGGATTTGTGAGGAAACACCTTCAGTGTGCGATGGTCGAAAACCCCCTCACTGTCCTTAAGAGAACCATGCAGCCTGCTGTGTGGGCTGTGCTCAGGCGAACATAGATCTGTCAGCAGATTCTCTCCCGAGCTGTCACCACTGAAATTTATGCTGCACGTTGGGTCCTCCCTTGCTTGTGATGCTGAGGATGGATGCAGGCGTTTGGTTTCTCCTCATTTTGCAGATGAGTGGGTTTGAAGACTGGAATTAAAACATGAGTGGCTTATCAGATTGCGGCTGTGAAGGTGGCCGCAAACCTAGAACCCGGCTCTCATTTTCATTTCCTTTCTCTTTCTTTTTTATTCTTCTCTCTGTTTGGTTTTTCAAAATGTTATTGGGAGGGTTCACCTTGATCGAGCTGGTCTCTGAAACACT